ATGTCCAAATAATTTTTGGGCCACTGTATATTAGTTGGGCTCACATCAGGCAACATAACAAGCAGTACTTTGTTACTAGTTTATTATATCTTTAGTGTTATATCTGATGACGTTTTCCTCTTCTTTGGTTCCTCTTCCTTGTGACAGACGACAAAAACCTCTGGCCTCCGCCTCATGGCCCTGGCAGACATACCGAGGGTTCAAGCTTTGTTGAATGAGAATCTCAGAGGCTTCCATCTGTTCCCCATCATGAACCAGGAGGAAGTTCAGCACTGGTTTCTACCCAGAGACGGCATTGTTGACACCTATGTGGTGGAGGTCAGTTTGCTTACATCACACATTATTCAGGGTAAGCTTTTCACAGGAATACAAATTCACCCTCTTCTTGCTCACTTCTCTGTTTTGGTAATGTCAATGTCACTGAAAGGGGAAACTGTAAAACATGGTCTGAGTTCCAGAGAGAGTGAAACCATAACCCATTACCACATTAATTACTAGGCATATCTGCCTGGGACTGTTCATCTGTACTTCATTAACCCTCAGAGGTCTAGAGTTATTATTGTTTTTTGCTATACATTTGATTTACATCACATAATTATTGACTCAATAATTCATGATATAGTTAGTTACACAATGAAACATTCTTGATTTACATCCTGTATTAACGAGTTTGAGTCTGCACGTCTGACATTTTCGATCTGTTTGGGTCAAAAAATGACAGGTTTCTGCAAAACAAAACAACAACCTTTCAGCAAATTCAAATATTTCCTTTTCTGCATACAAACACAAATGTGGCATTGATTGAAGTTTAAAAATCTGCACTCTTGACAGAGTGTATCTGCTTGTTTTAATGAGCTAAGAGTGAGAAATACTAAAACAGTACATAGGAACAGGTGTTTCACGCAGCATGCACCATGGAAGACCTCCATTCATTAACATGTGCTTAATATTTGTGTTGCTCCTGCAGGGCGCAGATGGCGTTATAACTGACATGGTGAGTTTCTACACCTTGTCCTCGACAGTTCTGAACCATCTTGCCCATCGGAGCCTGAAGGCGGCGTACGCTCTCTACACAGTCACCACTGCAACCTCACTGCAGCAGCTGATAGAGGACATCCTCATCATAGCTAAGGCTGTGAGTCAATGTGAATGAGTGGCAGTATGTTTTGTGAAATCTTTATTATGTGGGTGGCTGTGGAGAATAGAGTTCATCTAAAGAGCAGTTAGAATGCTGGAATGTATTATCAGCACAAAGGGATAGTTTTGTAAAAAATCAACTGTACACAATTTCCCTCTTACTCCAAACGTAGTTCATCTTCTAAAATATGTTTGGGGCCTGAAGTTTGCTTTTTTTAATTACTGAAACCACAAGGCTAATGGAGCCACCAATTAACTTTCAACATACACTTGCGTCCAAGCATGCTGAGTTCTTAATCAGTCTCAAATAGACTTGTTATGTGGTTTTGGACACTGTATGACATAGTTATCTATAAAGATGGACAAAAGTACTTCACATAGCTAAGACAGCAATAGCAGCCATTCCAAGGCCTGAATTGACAAAGCTAGCTTACAATTATTCATTTTCTTCTTCTTATTATTCTATGGTCAGCAGAAACGCTACTCCTCTTACAGCTTTCGGAGAAATTCCAGTTATATGATATTTAATGCTTATACCTCTATCTCTTATTCCACCACAGTCAGTCTACACTTTGTAGCTAAAAATGTTTGGACACTTCTCTTATGGCACCATCATACAAATATGCTAGCAACACCTTAGCAACAACCTGGGATACCATAGCAATGGTGCAGCAATACATTTGCAACCACTTAGGATACCATAACAATGGCCTACCAACACCTTAGCAACCACCTGAGATACAATAGCAATGAGCTAGCAATAACCTACCAACCACCTAGGATAGCACAACAATGGTCTAGCAACACCTTAGCAACAACCTACCAACCTTCAAGCAAGTACAACAACACACCATAGCTTGTAGCAACCAACTTGTAGCAATGACTATGTAAGCCCAATTACATTTTTAAAACCAATTAACAGTGTTCTGAAACTGCATTAACGTTTGATGCATTTTTAACTTTAAAGTTTGTTCAGTTTATCCATGAAACGTTGCCTTTCTAGTTTTGTCTGAACTTTTTCATTTTTCTTGGCTGATCTACTATATTTGGATTAAGGGAAAAACTGTGTAAATTTGCTTTTCTGCCAAAGTATTCATTTAAGTTGTTACAACTGCAATATACTACTCACCATCAACTTTCAGAGAGGATTTGATGTGTTCACTGCCCTGAATGTGATGGAGAATAAGACATTCCTGGAATCTCTGAGGTTCACTGAGGGAGACGTCCATATGCACTACTACCTCTACAACTGGAGATGCCCCAACATAACGCCAGACAAGGTGACCACAGAATTACAATAATCTGTGACTGATTGTTGATGTTGTTTGATTTTGCACATACTTTATAGATTTGCATACAGATATAGATGGATAAGGAGGCAGTGAATTAAACAGTAAACCTGTTTGTCCCTGTTTCAGGTTGGTATGTTGCTCAAGTAAGGGAGCCGTATTTGCAGAGTCCTCAGAGGAGGGGTCACTACTGAACATGAAGAACATGGAACATTTTGCTTTTAAAATCTTTTTACTGATTGTGCTCAAATACTTGCATATACATCAGTTTAATTCCTAGGCCTAACGGTCCAAATGTGTTGTGCCGGAGGACTCATGGTTTCGATGTGACGTCATTTGAGGAGGTTCAATGGTGGCAACTGGATTGGATCAAAAGACACATATTAATATTACATATTATTTACTTTCTTATCTTTTGACATATACTAATTTTTAATGAATGATTTCTCATAATATTTTATTTTAATGTGAGGCAAGAAACTAATGGAAATATATCTAATACTTGCCATTTTAACTGGCTTTGGTTCTTGCGGGTACCTCGAAAGTCGAGACATATATCCTCCTGTAACCTATCATCACATTAAATTAAATGAGTAAAAAACATTTTTAAATTTAACATGCAAGCTGGGTGTTATTTTCAGTAATTATCAATCAGTTCTGTTGTTATGTTCAGTTGAAGCAGGTCCAGATATAATTCCTGTCACAATAACTGCTATTTACTGTCTCTCTCTATGCTGATATGCCAATACGCTGGGTTCTGCTTTGGTTGCAGCTGAAAATGTCATTAAAGGTACTCTTAAGGTCTTACTTTATAATCGGTAAGCCACTTCTTGTGATCATACACTGACTTGGTCATATTTATCCTCTTGAGGATGGCCTGGTTTTCCAGAGACATTTTCACCAGTTCTCTTTTCCTGAAATCTGCGTTCACACTGCATTCATACAAGTCAAGCATGTTCAATGTAATGCAATTTAAAGCCAATTTAAAGTCTTAGGCTATAGGACAGTTTAACTAGGCTATACTACAACATGACAATGTCTGATAAATTCCACTCTTTCAGCAAACACACTTAAATATAGTGGCACCATAAAGGGAGTGAGAAGATAGCAATGAGTTTAATTTAAGATCAGTTCAGTTTTGAACCTTCTGAATAGAGAGGGATCTCTACATAGAGACAGTGGACTTAGTTACCTGGGCTTGGGCTTGTATTCATTCCAGTTATCCTGACCTCCGCTGGCCATAGTGTGGGCGATTCTGTACAACAGCAACCTGTTGCTTTTCTCTATCTCCATGAATCGCTCCTGCTCAAGCTGAAGGACAGGCGTTTCCACAATCAAAAGAGAAAAAATGAGAGACAATATCTGCTGTGTTTATTTTCCCCATTTACCTGAATTTTTTTCATCTTCAGATGGCAATGAAGGTATGTTCTAGGAGCTTTGTTGTCCACCGTTGGTTTGACTGGAAGGGTATCACAAAAGTGAAAATGACTTCTTGTCAGTAGATTAGATTAGACCTCTCTCCAATGCGTGATATGTCAACAGTTTTATATTTTACTTGCCATTCGCCATTCTGTCCATGTGGTATTTGTAGTGATGATTATCCCATATCTTTCTCATGTTACTGTATTGGCCAGTTGTCCCAACAATTGCTGGGAACGCCAAATAATCCGCTTTGTTCATCTCGCTAAACAGTGTGTATGGATATCCAGACCGCCGGTTTACAATAAATCTTAGAACACCTAGCTAAAGTTAAAGTTTCTAGGGAGAAAAATGTGTAATACCTCAGTAATAACAGCAGATGGTAGACTGATACCAACACGTATATAAATTATAAATACTCTGTGGCGGTTTTGGGGGAAAACATTCCTCTTAGTTTTACAGCCGTCTACTTTAGTTCAGGAGAAAAAGAATCAATCAAATAAAACCAAACAGACAATAACAGGAAGTCCAAGGTACGTGATTTTTTAAACGTAAACAAGTTTCCATCATGGTATCTTTCGCCGACTGTTAAAAGCCATTTTTAACGTAGAACTGGGTCATTTTGATTCTAATACCCCAGTGGATGTGGCTGTCGCAATGCCTGCCTGTGTGCAAAAGTGGTCACTCGTTTGTTTTTTTGTAGTTTTTAACTGCACGCGGGCTGAATGAGCGCGGAGAGGGCGGGGCTTCAACTTTCCAACTGACTGGGGAGTTTTACCGAACCGATTCTTCTGAGCCGCTCGATTCAGTGAATCGAACGAGTTGGCAATTGATTGATTCGAAAATCAAACCAACCTTATTACCTTCTCCTGCATATGCAGTTTGTATAGTGAGTGAGTCTGATGTCGCCGTTTTACTGACTTATGAAGCCAGATTCACAATGCACAAAGAAAGAGGACTGTTACGGCTACAGAGAGACCAAAGTCGTGTCTTACTGTAGATGGTTATTTTATGAGGTTAAATTGAGATTACTATTGGAAATATAGAAATGTTCAGCCTGTAATGCGGACGTAAAAATGTGTAGATGATTTAAGAATTTAATTTATTTGGAATCGGTTCAACCTGTTGAATGAAAAGAACCGGTTCAGACGAATCGATTGGTTCACGAGTTGTTCTTCGCTGTAGTTAATTCCGCCTGCAGTAGCCACAGTCTCACGGTCAGTCGTGTTTACGTGTGTGTGCCTGACTGTAGTCTGTCTGTTTCAGCCAGCTACATATTGAGAAAGGACTCGTCAACCTCACGTTTAATCCACTCAGAGGTCTTCTCCACTCGCTGGAGTCGCCTCTCCGCGGGTTCTCTGAATCCAAAAACAAAGACTTTTGCCATTTTCCACGTGCCGAGTGGTTTTACTTTGGCTTCACATTCGGGGCGAAAAACTAAATTCATACACTTTAAAAGGAGGAAACCCACAGATGTTGTGCTGTCGTCGAGCTGCAACCTTTGGCTGAAGAGTTGAGAGTCGGTTCGCCTTAATTTCCACAGAGGGAATGGTGTTCGGCTGATGTTAGTCTGCAACTCTGCACCAGATTTGAATACACTCTGAACAGGTACGTGTATCCTACCTGACCTTAATAGACAGTGTGTGACATTTGGGTCGACAGTATCTCTCATTCAACAGTACACGCTTTACTTTACACCGATCAGCCATAACATTAAGACCACCTCCTAGTTTCTACACTCATTGTCCATTTTATCAGCTCCACTTACCATATAGGAGCACTCTGTAGTTCTACAGTTAATGTAGTGTTAATGTGAAAGAGTGTTCTCCAGTGGTCAGGACTCCACTCACTGTCCACTCTATTAGACCCCTATCTTGTCAGTCCACCTTGTAGATTTGAAGTCAGAGATAATAGCTCATCTGTTGCTGCACAGTTTGTGCTGGTCATCCTCTAGTCCTTCATTAGTGCCTGCAGGATGCTGTTTACAGGACGCTGTTGGCTGGATAGTTTTGATTGGTGGACAATTCTCAGTCCAGCAGTGACACTGAGGTATTTAAAAACTCCCAACAGCACTGCTGTGTCTGATCCACTCATACAAGCGCAACACACTAACACACCACCATGTCACTGTCACTGCTGTGCTGAGAACGATCCACTACTTGAGAATACCTGCTCTGTAGTGGTCCTGTGGGGGTCCTGATCATTAAGGAAGAGGGTACAAGTGAAATAAAGAAGTATGCAGAGAAACAGATGGACTACAGTAGAACTACAGAGTGTGCCTATAAGGTAAGTGGAGCTGATAAAATGGACACTGATTGTAAAAACAAGAAAGTGGTTTTAGTGGTATGACCGATCGGTGTATATCATGACTTTAATGAATGCTAGGATTTGAACTGTCCTCTCTTGAATGTAATAACTTGGTAATTAAGTGTTTGGCCACCAGGTCTTCTTATGTAAACAGATGTGACTCAGTAGTTTACTCCACGGTTCAGATCCTGTTGATTCCGCTTTGAGTGCCTTGTGTGGTCATCATGGCTTGCATGTGAGAGGATCATGTGTGCTGAATATGATGAAGTTTGTGTAACTGTATTCATAAACCAACAGCCTCTTTCTCAGTGAAGTCATGTGCATCAAAGGTCCTCATTGTCATCCTATTCTGTATGAAAACAGCTCAGTAAGGATATGCAGCAGGACACACATTTGTTCTTTGATTAGGAAAGAAAAGGCCTTGACTGAATGTGGACAAACAGTGTTCTTCCAGAGTCTTTCTGGGAAAGGCACCTGCAAAAACAAAAGCAGCGCGAGTGCAACTAAGCGAAACAGAGGTTGAGAGTGATTTCACCACATCACACAGCGAGCAGCACTGCCAGTGATGATGTCAGGTTGAGAGAATTGAGACGGATTATCAGAGTATCTTTTAAATTTGAACCGCAGACGTAATTCTTTGTAAGTACACACTTTGGGGATGATAAATGACAGTGTCATCTAGGACTCTGTTCAAAATATTGTTACAGAGTTTATTGTGGATCAGCTCTTGGCAATATGTGAATCAGTGTGGTCATGGCTGTATCAATGAGTCTGAGTCAGCTTTTACAGTGTGGGGGGGGTGCGTATATATACGAGATAAAATATGTTAATGAAATTGGAGAAGGAATTTGAGACATTTATAAAGTATAATTGTGAGGCAAAATTCTGCTCTAGTAGACTTTGACACTGTCCAAAATGAAAAATGTAACCAGTTGCTATCTGTTGTAAACATGCCTGCTCGCCTCATACAGCAGTGTCACAATAGTCTCTAAAGTGAGTTCAAAGACTAGGAAAACCCCCTTCTGCTGATGTATCTTGAAGGTGGAAGTAAGTTTTGAAAGACTATAGGTGCCTTGTGGGTGGATACCTGAGGGCAGACTAGCTAAGGTGGCTAATTCTTCAACTTAATTATTTAGAATCATTAAGAAGTTTGATGACCATATACAAAGATATAGTTATTGGGTTCTGGATCAATGATTCACAGTTAGAATTTGTGGAGTGCCGAAAAGATGTATTTACATAATGCATGCTGGGTGTTGTAGTGAGAGAACACTGACAGATGAAAATATGAAAATGGTACAAAACCTTGAATTGTACACTACATAATATTACATAATATAGCAAAAACATGTTAAATGCTAGTTCCAGGGTAGCATTCCTCTTTACTGTAGCTTCCTCAAGTTGGATTCTTATGAAGCTACTGGATTCTTAGCAAGCTACTAAATTACCTGAACATGACCCTGCTTGGATAAAAAGTCAGTTGTGTTGTATATCTGGTGCTGTTCTGTGTCATATTGTATCACGATGCTTGTATCGAAACTTGAAATCATTGCCACTGTCCAGCCCTGCTGTCACCATGCTGTCTGGATACTAGGTGAACGTGCTGGCGGTCTGGCAGTGATGTGATTTTCATTAAATGTGGAGTTTTAACTGACAAGGTTTAACTGAACTGCGTCCTTGATTGAGCAATGAGTGAGAAGAATGGTAGTGGAGCAGCTGACAGAGCTTCAGACATGTTGCTCTGCTGGGGTTGAAAAGAAAACCTGACACTGTGCACACGTACGTGTGTGCTTACACACACACACACACACACACATACACACACACACACACACCTTCCATAAAGACCTCCTACCTGTTAGGCATACTCCTAAATGCCTGAGGAACTCAGACAAGTCACAGCAGATATGCAAAAGACTTAGCATTCCCAGTCCTTCTCAGTTTTCTGGCCTTGTTTATTTTGATCCGTAAAGGAAGAGGTGCACAGAGTCCTCTTTGTTACTGAAACGTTAAGTGATTGTGTTCAACTGGGTGAAGCTTTGTTTCTCAACGCTTCCCAGGACTGAAGGAGAGAGGTGAGTTCCTCATCCTACGAAGGGTGCACAAAATATCACGGCCAATGTCTTATCTGCCGATGAAAGGGAGAAACACAGTGTGCATTGGTCCAGTGTAAGAACTCGAGCTGATAAGAATCTTGGCGCCCGATTTTTGCTCATGCATGCATTAACGCGTGTATAGGCCCTGTTTACACTTGGCATTAACATCTGATCATCATCTAATCAGGACATGTTTACACTTGCCCTTTTCAAATGTAGCTGCTAGATACTGATCAGATCTGGTTTCAACGCGGAGTACTTGCTTAAGTCTAACAGGCTGTGTTGTGTTTAACTGTCTGTGTTGTGTTTAATGCTTACATAAAACATCTTGCATTCACAGTGAGAGCTCTTCAGGTATTTTAATATGCATATCCTTAATTTGTTTTTCTGTCTAAGGTCCACTTGTAATGTTTGTGTTGTTTTCACCTAAAACAGTCACAAATCAATTTGTATTTTTTAACTTCTCTTTCTTTACCATATGGCTATACAATAAAAGAACTACATCTGGTTTCTTTAAACAGCTCTGCAATTAAACAGTTCACTAAAAACTCCAATTGAAATTTTTAATTTTAAAGTTTTTAAACATTTTTTCTCCCCAGTTTTGCGTGGCCTATTCCACCTGCTAGCTAGGTCTCCCCATCATATGATGCTACCGAGCTGGGAGGGTGAAGGCTCAACATGCTTGGAGGAGAGTGCTAACTGCCAATTCTGTTTCATCAGCTAACAGATGCCTGCATTGGCTAGCATTTGCTGAGTTATGGTGGGAGACGAGGGTCATCCAGCCCACCCAGGGAGAGTGAGGTCATAGTGCTGTCTTGGACTAAAAGAACCTTTTTGGGAACGTTCCTTTTTAAGAAGTCAGTTTTTAAATGTTTAACCTGCCATACATTCACAGTGATTCATATCTGGATTATAATGTAAACTTGGCATGACAAAGGTAATTATGAGTGTTATCAACCCAAAGGTTCCATACTCGGGCAGCCCTGCATTTAATTGTGCATTTGATGGTTTGGCTTCTTGAGCAATATTCTGAACTAGTCCTCTTCTGTTGTAGTCATACTTGTGGAACAGCATTTCTGGGTCAGAAAGAAGATTCTTCGTAGCCTGGTTTCATTGAACACACAAACTTTAGGACTGCATTCTGTTTGTTTGGGAATCCCAGAAATGTCACTCCAAAGCAATAGACCACAGTCTGACAAGGACTATGCCTGTTTTGAGGCATTTGCAGTACATGCAGCCTTTCTGCCCCCAGTATTTTGCAGTATTTCCTAATAGACTTCTGTCTCACTCCAGATGTAGAAACATCCTCTCAGATCCTTTCATTGTTTACAGAAAGCAAGCCTGGCAGTATGTCATTGACGTAGAGAAGGCCTTTGTTTACAGTAAATACAACCTATACACCATGTTTACCACGAAGAGCATCATAAACAACATCTGTCTAGCTTGTCGGGCCTTCTTACATAGTTAGAATAGTTCAGTGAAAAAGCAAATTTAGACATTTACCTTAATGGTAGTTCATCAGCCAAGACATAGTTGTTTTCCAAAGTTTTCTTCTTTAGTTTTGTCAGACTGTGTTTTGTGGCACTGTATCTGACACCATTAAAATTAGAAGTGCACAGTAACATCAGAATCATTGGCAGATATTTGCCTAAAAAATCTTTTAAAAATATCCAGGTGGATTACATTTTTGAAGCTTCTTTATTTTAAAAATTTGAGGCAATTGTGTAGTCTTCCACTACTTATTAGCTATGATCATTGAAGCTCTAGTGCAGTCATATCTTAGCTGCTCACTTACACTGTGGGTTTAAGAGATTAGAATTAGTACTGTAAATTAGATTTTTTATGACTTTTTAAATTTATCACTTAGAATTGATCAGGCTATTTTTCACTGCTGTGCATTTAAGACAGATGTGTGTAAATATGTTATGACTGGCTGCCTCATTCAAAAGGCAGCGCAGGCTGAAACACTCCTTATAACTTTGGTGTGAATGGGGCGAAACTAAATTGTTATAGGCTAAATAGGTAGATTTATGTAAATGCATCAGTTTTTGTGACATCACAAACACAGTTAATGTAAAATCAGCCGTTTTTGCCGACTTAGATTTGGACTATGTGGGTAGTGGATGATAAGTTTTGAAACTTGAACATTGTGTAACATACTACATCAAAAAGATATGGGCACTTTAACATTAGTTGAAGAACAGT